TTAATATTTAAGAGAATCAAGGAAACAAAACATGAACCAAGAATTTTATATCCAGATAAATAGACCTCCTAGTATTTAAAGACTAAATAATATAATACTAACATGTAAGAACTGAGAAAATAGTGTTCACATGATTTCTTCCTATGGAATCCACTAGAGCTTCAAATAACTAAAATGACTAGAGAACCAGGTTGTCGTATCCACATACTAATTTCCCATCAAAAGAAACTAGGCCCTGGCTGGGTAGCTCAGTTTGTTAGAACATTGTCCCAATACGCCAAGGTTGTGGATTCCACCTCCCCAATCGGCACATACAAGGAGCAGCAATGAACCTATAAGTAAGTGGAACAACTAATCACTCTCTCTCCTTCTCCTCTCTCTCTTTCTCTAAAGTCAGTAAATATTTTAAAAAATACTTGAAATAATAGCTGATTCTAGGTTTAGAGCAGCAAATTAACATCAGACATGGAATATCTTGTCAGAGGATACAGGAGCCAACTTGATGTTTTTTGTGGCCAAGTATAGGACAGTTTGAGCATCAGTAAGGATAAAAATTTGCAGTGGATTGAAGCATCAGATATGTTTAAATCCATGAGTTCATGTTCATGCAAAGAAAACTGACTGCAGAAGGGGGTGTGAGGGAGCTATTTGAGGTGGTGGAAATGGTCTATATCTTGCTTGTATTAGTAGTTATACTACTTACTGTATATGTAGATATTTGTCTAAACCGTGGATTCTCAGCCTCAGTACTACTGACATTCTGAACTGAATAATTCTTCATTTTGGGGGAGGAGCAAGCTGTCTTGTGCATTATAGAATGTTTAGCAGCACTAGATGCCAGACCTGACAATGAAAAATGTCTTCAGGCACTGTCAGATGTCCCTTGGGGAACAAAATGGCCCCAAGTGAGAACCCTAGTATGAATTTATTAAGAAGGTAAATTTTCATTGTTTGTAAATTATATATCAATAAACTTGATTTTTAGGAAAACTCAGTGGTTGGTCACTTTTTAAAAAAAAGATTTTTTTAAAATTTATTTTTAGAGAGAGGTGAAGGGGAGAAAGGGAGAGAAAGAGAAATATCAGTGTGTGAGAGGTACATTGATTGGTTGCCTCTCTCTCACCCCTAGCTGGGGACCTGGCCTACATCCCAGGCATGTGCCCTGACTGGGAATCAAACCAGTGATCTTTTGGTTTGCAGGTCACACTCAATCCACAGATGCACACCAGGCAGTGCTTTTTAAAAAATTTATTGATTTCAATATATAGAGAGAGAGAGGGAGAGAAACATTGATTTGTTGCTCCACTTATTTATGCATTCATTGGTTGTTTCTTCTGTAGCCCTGACCAAGGATTGAATCCATATCATTGACGTATCAGGGTGATGCTCTTAACCGACTGAGCTACCTGACCAGGGCTTGGTTGGTCACTTCTTAAGGATTCTAGGAAACCAAGCTACCATATTTCGAAAACTAGTAATTGACAGAATCAAGCATTTATACTGTCTTTCCTACATAAATTAAACTATCTCAAGAGTAACCAAGTTGTCAAATAACGATGAATTTGGGAACCCATCTATATGTATTTTTTGATACTACATTTTGTCACTCCCAGTTGTCAGATTTTCTGTCATTAAAAGTGTAACTTTTTGCCCTGGCTGGTGCGACTCAGTGAATTGAGTGCTGGCCTGTGAACGTAAGGGTCTCTGGTTTGATTACCGGTCAGGGTACATGCCTGGGTTGCAGGCAGGTCCCCAGTTGGGGGTGTGTAAAAGGCAACCGATCAATGTATCTCTCACACATCAATGTTTATCTCTGTCTTTCTGTCTTCTCTCCCTCTAAAAATAAATAAATTTTTTAAAAAAATCACCTCTAATCTCTTTTCTAAAAAAGTACAAATTTTCTATTCCTTTTTCTCTAATTTGCTACATCTAATTCACTTTGGACTGGGGAACTAGATTAATAAAAATTATTATTTAAAAAGATAAAGCACCATGTATTATGAATCATCTATCTCTGTTAACTACTGACATTTTTCTTGATGTGGCGTAGTATTCCGGATACTAAATGTTCCTCACACGTGAATGATATGATAACAGTATTCTGTTTCAACATGGCTGAATACACAAACACTTGTGGTCTGAGATATACTCCTTTGGATTAAATTTGTTGTGTAAAATGAAACATGTTCAGAAAATACAGTGTATGCTTAATAAAGGTGTAGTTTTAAAATTCAGTATTACTATATTAATACTTGCTGAATTAAAGAACACCCATCCCCAAAATCATTTCAGAGTGCAGGTGAATAGGGAAGTATATCGCAACCTTCCTTTTGAAAATTATTGGGTAGGTTTCTATTTCATCCTATTTTAATATTGCCCATGTTCTTTTCTCAGAAATGAATAGGGTGCTTGACTTAAAGATGTGGTGGTCTTCTTGAAAGTTCCACTTTGAGAAAACTGAAAAGGTGTGCAACTGCCATAATTATTTCAGGAACTGATGCCAGATACAACTACTGGGTTGAGCAAGATTGTCATTAAGCTATGCCTTTGGTGCATTAGTTATTTTCATCATGGAAAGGAAAATCTTTAATTTCTTTCATTACTTAACCAGTGCCACATTTTAAGATAAAACTTTTTTTTTTTAATTTAATTTTGTTTGTTTATTTTTGGAGATAAGGGAAGGGAGGGAGAAAACAAGGGAGAGAAACATTGATTGGTTGCCCTCCCGTATGTACCCGGGCCAGAAATCATATGCACCTGGACCAGGGACCGAACCCACAACCTAGGCATGTGCCCTGACTGAGAATGGAACCTGCAACCTGTCAGTTATGAGACTACACTTCAACCAACTGGGCCACACCAGCCAGGGCTGTTTATAGGTTTTTGCTGTTAAAGAAAACACTATTGTCATATCTTGGTATACTCATGAGTATCTCCATAGGACATTGCTGGTTCAAAATGGAATTACTTTGAAGTTGTGTGTTTAAATTTTTATTTTTTTATTTTATTTTTTGGGGGTCATTTTACTGTTCATAGTTTTTTATCTTTTTCTTAGATAAATCCCTGTAACATTTCATATAATAAGGTCTTGGTGATGATGAACTCCTTTACCTTGACCTTATCTGGGAAGCACTATCTGCCCTTCCATTCTGAATGATAGCTTTGCTGGATAAAATAATCTTGGATGTAGGTCCTTGTCTTTATGACTTTGAATACTTCTTTCAAGCCCCTTTTTGCCTGCAAGGTTTCTTTTGAGAAATCAGCTGATAGTCTTATGGGAACTCCTTTGTATGTAACTGTCTCTTTTGTAGATAATTCTCTCCTTTTCTCTTACTGCTTTTAAGATTCTCTCCTTATTTTTAAGCTTTGGTAATGTAATTATGATGTGCCTTGGTATATGTGCTTCCTTGTGTCCAGTTTCTTTGGGACTCTGTGTGCTTCCTGGATCTCCTGAAAGTCTATTTCTTTCGGCAGATTGGGGAAGTTCTCCGTTATTTTTTCAGATGTTTTTGATTTCTTGCTCTTCCTCTTCTCCTTCTGGCACCCCTATGATTCTGATGTTGGAACATTTAAAGTTGTCTCAGAGGTTCCTAAGCCTCTCATTTTTTTGAATTCTTGTTTCTTCATTCTGTTTTGGTTGAATGTTTATCTCATCCTTCTGCTCCCAATCATTGATTTGAGTCCCAGTTTCCTTCCCTTTACTGTTGGTTCCCTGTATATTTTTCTTTATTTTACTTTGCATAGCCTTCATTTTTTCCTCCATTTTGTGACTATACTCAACCAATTCAGTGAGCATCCAGATTACCAGTGTTTTGAACTGTGCATCTGATAGGCTGACTGTCTGTTCATTGCTTAGTTCTATATTTGGAACTTTGATCTATTCTTTCATTTGGGCCATATTCCTTTGTCTCAGCACACCTGTTACATTGGGAAGGGTAGAGCCTTAGGTAGTCACCAGGGTGGGGCAACCCAGGTTGCTGTGTTGTGGGGCTGTATGTGGGGGAGGGATCTGAGAGGGAACAATGCCTCTTGCTCGGTTCTTGGCCGGCTTTCAGTCCCTTCCCCTGCTACCCACAAGCAAATCAGGCCCTTCTGCTGCTGATTCCCAGGTGGATGCATTTGTGTACGTTCTGGGACCTTGTGGGCCTCTCCTGTGGACTCTCCTGTGAGATTGGAAATTTCTCTTGCTGCCACAATCCCCACAGGTTTTTCCCCCCAGAGGTTCTGAGGCTTTCTTTCTCCACACTGGAACCCTGGGTCGTATGGTCTGTCTTGCTCCCCAGCTGTTCCTCCTGGTTTATCTGCACGCAAATGTGGAACTGCCTGGTCCACCAGCTTTTGCCTTGCCTGCCTGGTCCTCCAGTCGCTGCCTTCCCTAATGGCCTCTCCACCCTGGCTGCCCATCTCTGTCCCTCCTACCAGTCTGGATGAATGTTTATTCTTTAGCTCCTTGGTTGTCGGATTTCCATACAGTTTGATTTTGTGGCAGTTCTGGTTATTTTTTGTTTCTAAATTTGTTGTACTTCTTTTGGTTGTGCAAGGAGGCAAAGTATATCTACTTGTGCCTCTCTATCTTGGCTGGTGATTTAGTCAGTCTGTATCTTTCACTCTCTGCATTTGAATTTTTAGTAATAAAGCCAAACTGACCTTCATAGAGGTGGTTCTAATTTATCACCCCCTATATATAACAATGTTTATTTCCCTATACCCTTGCCAATTCTGTGCATTATTAAACTTTTTGTAATCTGATAAGTGAAAAATTACAAAAGTCCAGTATAAATAGAGTTTCATTTTAAAAATTGAATGAGATTGACTGTTTTCATGTATTTAATTGGCTCTTTGTATTTTCAGCAACAATTCTTGATATCTCAAGGATGGGTGATAGGAGTGAATGTGACCAAAGCTGTGAAGAAATGGTGCTGTAAATGTAGTCAGTGAGATGACTGCAGCTGTGATGACCTCCCCTATTTCCCATCTTGACTCTTTACTCTTAATTTCAGGTGATCATGGAGCTCAGCTTGGCCTCCATGGGGCCAGTGGTGATGGACTACATGATGACACAGCAGGAGGAGAGGAAGGAGAGAACAGTCCAGATCCCCAACCCCAAGCTGGTCGGAGGACCCGGCGGGAAGCATGCACTTGCCCCTACTGTAAAGACAGTGAAGGAAGGTAAGTTGACCTATCCAGTATCTTAATAATAATGTAAAAAATGAAAATAAAGAAGGAAAAATTAATGGATTTGGAGGTAAGAGGGTTTCTGTGTTTTTTGGTTTTTGGGTTTTTTTAACATTTAAGACTTGGCAATGTTGCAGAGGGATCAGAGATAACACTATACATTTGATTAGGTTATATTATAGGATCTTGGTTCCAGCCCTGATCCTTTCATCAGTTCTAAGACCTTGAACCTTAATAGGTACCTGCTTTCTCCTATAGATAAAGAAATCAGATGGAGCCAGCTGGTCTAGTGATTATTACCATATGTCTGTTTTGAGATGGTTTTAACAAGGTTGCTTGTAAAACAGTGTTGCAGAGCAAAAAAATAAACCTACACTAATGTGTGTGTACAGTGGTTATGTGAGAATAAGACTTCCGGAGTCTTATTTTCCCTCAGAATAGACAAAAATGCCTAGTCCAGATAAAAATTCTTCCATCAGGGACTCTTAACACATCCTGCAGAACAGGGTTCTGACAATTTTCTCATTAGTAGTAACCTGCTGTTCAGTATTGTCTCTGGAGAGTTCCAAGTTCTGTTCCTTCAAGTCATAGCTTTCGAGAGAATAGAAAGTTACATAGTTGGTCAAACATCTTCGGGGAGGGGGGGTATGTTAAAGTTTTGTCCCAATAAAAATAAGCACAAAAATAAGAAAAGTACCAAAACAAAAAAAAACAGTTATTTATAGGTTAACCCTACATTACAGGAAAAATCTTAATTGAAAGCACTGAGTATAATAGTGTTTCTAACAAAACCTAAAGTGTATTTAAATTTTTGAAGGAACTTCTTTGATTTTCATCTACATGTGATTTCATTTTCATTATGTTTTTTTCCTTTTGCTAATATGTGCTGTTAAAATCCAAGAAAAAAAGTCCCTCTTGGAAGACTCCCCAATGCCCATTAATGGATCACACGTGGAACAAATTGGTTTGGCAAAAATGTTTCAGAGCTGATTCCTGAGAGAGAGGAGCTTAGGATCTGTTCCATATAGGGAATTTTTTGTTTGTTTGTTTGTTTAACATACCTTGAATTATTTAGGGTTCTTACTCCCCTCTATTAACTTTTTTCAGTACATCTTCCTTTTCCACAGAAGTCCCCGAAAGTGGTCCAGCTTTTCAGATTTTAATCTTCACCATTTGGCTCTTGAGTCTTATTTTAGGAAAAAAAAGTTCTATAGGTATAAAATATTTTCCTTTAACTTCTTAATCAGGTGCTTAAATAGAGGAACCCTTTGCTCATAAGCAAGTCCCCAGCCAAAAAATACCACCATATTCACAGTAGTTTCTATGGAAAATGCTTGTATTGAGACTTAAACTTGAAAAATAGAGGAAATCACATGAGAATGATTATGTCTTCAAATATCAAACATCAAAATTGAATAAGGAACAGGAAAGCAGAAAAGAGCAAATGTCCAGTTGAGAGGAAACCTCTGTCTTGAATTTTGGATATTAAGAAGCAGAGTTGCACCCTGGTTGGTGAGGTTTAGTGGATTGAGCACCATCCTGCAAACCGATTCCTAGCCAGGGCATATGCCTGGGTTGTGGGCCAGGTTCCTTGTTGGGGGCATGAAATGTATCTGTCTGCCACATTCATGTTTTTCTTCCTTTCTCTTCCTCCCTCCCTTCCTGTCTCTCTAAAAATGAATAAATAAAATCTTAAAAAAAAAAAAACAACCAGAGTCAACCAGAAATTTATCTTTTGATACTAAAGAGAAGCCTTTAAAAAAAAGTTTGGGTTAGTTTTGAGTGAGTAGTAAGGTAATTGATGTTGATACTTTGTGATTCCTTAAATCTTATCTCTGGAATAAATGATGAGTAATTGTGTTTTCACTTTCAGAGGCTCTGGGGATCCTGGCAAAAAGAAACAGCACATTTGCCACATTCAAGGCTGTGGCAAAGTGTATGGCAAGACCTCACACTTACGGGCACACTTGCGCTGGCACACAGGCGAGAGGCCATTCATGTGTACCTGGTCATACTGTGGGAAACGCTTCACACGTTCGGATGAGCTACAGAGGCACAAACGCACGCACACAGGTGAGTAGGAGCCTAGGGAAGAAAGTAATAGACCAGAATGGAAAGGCACAAAATGTATCTTATGAAATACTAAAAACTATAAGCAACTTATGTTTGGGACTAAATGTATGGGTCACAAATGGAATTGGAGTTAATCTGGGAGGCCTTTAAAAAGAAAGGAGCTAGGGCCCTGGCTGGGTAGTTCAGTTGGTTAGAGCATTGTCCCAACACTACGAAGTTGTGGGTTTGATCCCCGACCAGGGCATATACAAAAATTAGCCAATGAATGCATGAATAAGTGGAACAGCAAACTTATGTCTCTGTCTGTCTTTCTCTCCCTTCCTCTCTCTCTCAAATCAATTTTTAAAAATTAAAAAAAAAAAAAAAAAAAAAGGAGGGACCTAGGTTTTGAGTGGAATTTTGGAGGATTCCATTATTCTTGTTCATCTCAGTCCTGTCAGGCTTCTCTGCTGTGTGCCTCCCTTTCTGAGTACCGACCATCCGTCCTTCCTTCCTTTTTTTTTTTCTTTTCTTTTTTTTTTATTTCTCTCCTCCCAGAATGACAAATTTCCTTTGAAAGCAATCCCTCCATCTCTATTCTTAGTTATGCAGTTTGGGTGGGATTGACCCTACCCTCAGCTCTAGGAATGGGCTGTGATTGGCTTAAGCCAGTTGATGTGTCCCTTCCCCACAGGATGTTTGGTTCAAAGGGTGGGCAATCAAGTTTTCCAGGAAGAGTGAGAATTGGGACTTAAGCTGGGAATGCAGGACCACGGGGACTTTCTCCTTCTTGGGTTTTTGCTGTGAAGATGTATGGCCAGGAACTGCTACTCCCCAACCCTTACCTATTTTTCTTCCTACCAAAAAAAAAAAGATACCAGGTTTTTCTTGCTTTTATCACCTTTTAAAACTGGGTTAATACTCTGCCTGATGAAGTTTGAAAGCAGTAATTGGATAAGGTACTCCCTATGTCCTGAGATGTTTGTTTCTTATCTACTTTCTCTTTACTTAGGTGAGAAGAAATTTGCCTGCCCTGAGTGTCCCAAGCGCTTCATGAGGAGTGACCACCTGTCAAAGCATATCAAGACCCACCAGAATAAGAAGGGAGGCACAGGTGTAGCCCTGAGTGTGGGCACTTTGCCCCTGGACAGTGGGGCAGGTTCAGAAGGCAGTGGTGCTGCCACTTCTTCAGCCCTTATTACCACCAATATGGTAGCCATGGAGGCCATCTGTCCAGAGGGTATTGCTCGTCTTGCCAACAGTGGCATCAACGTCATGCAGGTGGCGGATCTGCAGTCCATTAATATCAGTGGCAATGGCTTCTGAGATCAGGCACCCAGGGCCAGAGACATATGGGCTATACCCATTAACCCTGGGATGCAAGGTAGCATGGGTCCAAGAGACATGTGGGAGAGAGAGCCATGAGGCATTAAAATGCATGGTGGTGGGAAGAATTGGGGAGGGATACAAGAGAAGAGATGGGGTCTTGGCACTCACCTATATCATCAGTACCTCCTTGCAGTGGGAAACAGTGAAAATTCTGTTGGTGCCACCCTTTGATCGACCCAGAATTTGTTTGACCCCAGTTTCTTCCTATATTTCTTACCCCAGGATTCCTGTCCTGCGTTTCCCTTCTCAGCTCCCTCATGATGGATCCCCCCTTTCCTAAAGCCATCATGCCTTGATAAATATATATGATCATTGAAATACTTTTTAACAAAAAACAGATTCTATATTATATATATATATATATATATATATATATTAAAAAAAAAGATATATAGAGATGCATTTGCAGGGGTTGGCTGGGAGGAGGAAGGAGACCATTCTGTGACCAAAATACCTTGGTCATTTTTTATATTGCCTTATTTCCTTATGGCTGAGCCTTGTTGTGACACATCAAGCTTCTATAGATGTTGTCTTGGCTTCCCACTAGATTAAGCATCCATATGCCCTGCTTTTAGTTTATATATACATACATATTTTTCTTTAATTTTGTCTTTTTATTTGGGATCAGCTTCTTGTACTCCTTTCCTGACTCAGTCCTTTCTGTCTCCCTTTCTCTCACCTGATCATTTCATGTTTTTGGAAGTGATCCCCGGATGAGGCACTTCTGTGAATGTTTTTAAGTCTTTAGTACCAGCAGCAGAATGGAGAAACCTTGAAGCCCAGGATGATGCTTGAAGTAACTGTGTGTGGAGGGAGTGTTCAAAATACTGCTTACTGACGCAGGCACCCTCTTGGTGCTGGAGAGTCAAAGGCACTTCTCTTCTTCAGCTGCTCTAAGCATCAAGAGTCAGAAGTTTTTCTATGTAATTGTACAAGAGACCCTTTGAAGGTTATAATCTGGGATCAGTTTATATAAACTATCAAGAGATGGCCAAATAATAAGTGGGGGCTTTTAATAGGAAAATGATGTGCTCAGAAGCAGAAGTGACTCAGTAGTCCAATTCAGGAGTTAGTGGAGTATTTGGACTTTTGTACAGCTGTCTTCCAAGGTGGCTCTAAGCTTTGACTTTACAGAAGCTTCTGAGTTTATGTTCTGAAAGGAAGTATACATCCTCTTTTGAACATCCCCAGTAGTGTTTTTCCCATTATGTTATTAAGGAGCATCAGGCAATGAATCTCTTCTGGGTTTCCATTCTGCAGAACTCCAGAGCATGGACTAGATGGCAAGGCAGTGGTTCTTCGATGTTTTCCCTTAACTCTTCCTTGGGTGGTTCCTAAGGGAAAAGGAGGCACATGATAATGGGAACAATAGCCCAGAACAAAAGAAAATCTTGTCTTACCACTGTGGTTTTATAGGAGAGATCGGGAGAAACCATCCTGCTTTCTTCATGGCCTGATTCCTGAAGAGACTGATCCAAAAATTATAGCGGCAGGGAACTCTTAGTGCATTTGGCACTGAGATTTAAATGCAACCAGAGTTGTCCTCAAGGCCCAGCCATTAAAACATCAGCTCTCTTGACCTTCTGGTATCTTGTCAGAGGGCTTTTCACTGTGAGGAAGTGTGGAAATGGCTGCGTGTATGTGTGTAATCTGTTAGGTTGGGGATAGGTTTTCTGTTAGCCATTACTAAAAGAGACCTGCAATAAAAAATTACCCTGATCTGATAGTGAAGTGTTTGTGTATGACTGTGTGAATGTATGTTTGTGCCTGTATATATCTACACGCAGATGAGAAATTATATTTAAAATTGTTGGAAAATAAATTCAGATCAAAATGCCTTTCAGGCCCATTACCTAGAAATCTATCTTAAAACCTGGGTATGTTCCTGAGGTAATTTCTTTGCTTATGCTAAATTAGTAACAATTATGAACGGGGGATATTTTTTAATATATTTTATTGATTATGCTATTACAGTTGTCCCAATTTCCCCCCCTTTATCCCTCTCCACCTGGTATCCCCATTCCCCCCAGCAATCCCCCATCCTTAGTTCATGTCCATGGGTCATGCATATAAGTTGTTTGGCTACTCCATTTCCTATACTATTCTTGACATCTGAATGGGGGACATTCTACTGCACTTTTAAAAGAAGAAACTATTTTTGTGTTTGAAGGTGAAACTGTCTATTGCAGAATCCTAGTTCTTTTCATAATTTTTTTTTTTTTACCTTGACTACAAATAGATGATGCTATGATTCTACTATATATTTTATATAAAATCTATCCAAATTAGGGTTTGGGTAAGTTTGTGTTGTTTAACCTGAAATATAATAACTGTTAATATGCTAAACCGTCCACTCCACTTGGTCCTTTCTCTGCAGACCTAATACTGTTTTAACACTCAGGAACCATTGCAAGGAACTTCTCCAGATCAGATTTTGTTAGTAGTAAAGTAAAAGTCATACATGGCCAGCCACATGCCACACCCTTTATTCCCTGAAAGGCAGAACTCAGAACCTGTTACTTTATGGCTGTAATCATGTACATAGACATTTTTTGGAGGAAAGAGGCAGGGTAACTCACTGGAATTTGCACTATTTTGCTAGAGCATTTCAAGTAATGGAATCTTCCCCAGTATGAAATTATTAAACTAGCTTACTGAAGCTGAGGACTACAAGCTTTTAGGATGTTATTTTGATGATACTTCTCTCTGGCATGGAAAGTTGGTTTATCCTCCACCCCTTTCATTAGCATTAATAGGAGTGAATTTACATCCAGTTTGTTCCACTTGCTCTGTTTTCTTCTCACCAAGGAAGCTCCAGATCCAGTATCTTGTTGGGCCCCACAGTAGTGAGCCACTTTTGTCTCCCAGCAGCAGTGAGCCACTCAGTCTTTTCCACGGGAAGTTAGGAGCCTACATTCCTTGAGTCAGGAGCTTATTGCTGAAAATCCCCCCCCCCTTTTTTTTTAACTTTCAGTCAGCAGAAATTAATGTAACTGTCAGGCATACTGATTCTAATTTTTTTTTTTACATGAGTTCCTTTTTTATTTAATTTTTTTTTAAAGACCAAACCTTGGAGAGGAGTGATAATATTAAAGCACTCATTCCCTTGTTCTTTCAGGTTGCCCATTCACTTTCATTTGCTTGTCATTTGACTGTCTCACTTTTTACCCAGAGCAGTAACAACCCACACCATCTTCCTTCAGGGACCTCCCAGTCAGCACTGTGTTTGTGGGTGCTATGCAGAATTAAATTTAATGGATATTTCTCAGCCTGGGTCAGAATAATACAACCCTTGATCCCAGAAGAGACTGCAGTGTGGAGTGAAGATTATGATTGGGGGAGGGTTAGAGACAAAAGCTGTAAATTACTATGGCTGATTGATTTATTTCTATATACATATATATTTTTTTGCTTTTGTATATCCTATATAGGAAACTAAGCATTGTATTTTTTTAACAAATCTGAGAAAGCACTATGAACTGCAGATGTTTGACTTTCAGAATATATTTTGTATTACTATCTTCACATTGTGTGAATACTGGAAGCTGCAGATCTTTGCTAGGATGCAATAAATTTATATACGTTTTGAGGGGTTCTTCTGGGGGTATTAATCAAGCCCCTGTTATGTTTTGAGGGAGCCCTGGTGCTACTTGCTTAAAGTTTTCATTCATTTGTAAGTACCCTGATGCCTTTTGGACCTTGGGATCAGGTCAAACGAGTTTTGGAGATCCAGGTACCAAGGAAATGAAGATAGTCTAGCTGCCTCAAGTGAGGTATCCTTTGCATAGCTCTCCTTCCCCCTATTCAAAGCTGGGTAGCCTCTTGGGGTTGGGAGGGGGGAAAATGTGAAATCTCAGTTTCATCTCCCTTAGAAGAGAGCCAGTAACTTATGTGCAAGGATGAAAGGTGGCAGCAGTAGCTTTGGGGAAAGGGAGGAGGACATGGCACTACTCCAACCCCGGAAAACTGCTTTTGAAAACTGCTGATAAAATATGGGCAGGTTGCTTTACTTTTGTTTGAGAGCCTGTGTGCTCTCTGGTGCCTCTCTTGGCTCTCCTCCTGGGGTACAGACCTCTTCTAGGAGGATGAGCAGACCAGCTTTGAGGTTGACCTGTTTCTTTTCTTTGTCTGCCTTCCCTAAACACCATCCCCCGCCCCCCAGGAAGACATTAAGCAGCCTGAAGCTTAAATTCCTACTCCCTCTCACATATTTGGCTTACTTGCCTTAGATTTGAAGGCTGGGAAAGAAAAAAAGGGGTGTCCCTGGATTCATTCCTCCCTAGGTCTTCTCCAACTTTGACTTCCAAAAACTCAGATTTCCTCCACAAAGTTCATTTGAGAGATAGGAGTATTTTGTCTCATTTTTCCCTTAACAACTCCAGTCTGCCTTTTATCTGCTAAGTGAGAGATGTGATTTGTCCCTCAGCTTCCTTCAGTATCAAGAAAAAAAGCGTAACAAATGGGGTTTAACTGGGGCTACAGGTAGTGATGACTGTTGATACCTCTTACCTTCAGGAATGACACTGTGCCTTCTCCACAAGGGAATGGGCTTGTCTGCCCAGCCCTCCGCTTTCCCAGCAACTGCCCTTGAACAGTATAGACAAGGGCAGGTCTTCCTATTTCTTATCACCTCTTTCTCCCAATGACATCCCATAACCCTCACCTGGAATCTAGGGCTCAAAGACTTTGGGGTAAGATGGGGAAAATATTCTGAGATTGACCTGAGGAGTCCCCTTCTATGCCGAGGGCACCTGCCCCAGGGCCTGCTTCCTCTTCCCGAGTCTGTCATCCTTGGAGAGGAGGGGGGCATTGCTCCAGTCTCTGGTGCCTAAAACAACTTTATTTCTCTCTCAACACTGGCGATAACCAGTTTCATACCACTGTTGCCTTTTTAAACCTCTTAATAAATCATACTGTGTGTTGGTTCCAGTCCAATTATCACCAGGCTGTGTGGAGAAATACTTTTAAATGCTCTCTCATCTTGGTCTCCCCCCCCCCCCCCCCCCGCATTCTGTATGTATGATGCTAATCTCATGTCTTTATTTCTTCTACTCTTTTGTATCTTTCTTGTGTCTTCTACCTTTTGTCTCTGGGTGTTTGGGGGCGCGCTTTTTTTTTTTTTTTTTTTTTTTGGCGCCTTTTTGTACAAAGATTAGTTTCAATGTAGTCTGTAGCTCCTTTGTAAACCAATTAAAAATTTTTTTTTAATAAAAAGGCATGTCTCTGGTGTTTTGAGAAGGTTGGGAATGGGGAGAATATGGCTATAAATTCATGTACTGAACCCAGCAAAGGTTCCCAGCTACATTGTTGTGCTCCTGTACATATTTATCAGTACAATTGCCCTGCACTGAACTCCCAGGTAAACGGTGTCA